AGATGATATCATTCTACAATAGATCGTAGAGCAAGGGAAGAGATGATATCATTCTACAATAGATCGTAGAGCAAGGGAAGAGATGATATCATTCTACAATAGATCGTAGAGCAAGGGAAGAGATGATATCATTCTACAATAGATCGTAGGGCAAGGGAAGAGATGATATCATTCTACAATAGATCGTAGAGCAAGGGAAGAGATGATATCATTCTACAATAGATCGTAGAGCAAGGGAAGAGATGATATCATTCTACAATAGATCGTAGGGCAAGGGAAGAGATGATATCATTCTACAATAGATCGTAGAGCAAGGGAAGAGATGATATCATTCTACAATAGATCGTAGAGCAAGGGAAGAGATGATATCATTCTACAATAGATCGTAGGGCAAGGGAAGAGATGATATCATTCTACAATAGATCGTAGGGCAAGGGAAGAGATGATATCATTCTACAATAGATCGTAGGGCAAGGGAAGAGATGATATCATTCTACAATAGATCGTAGGGCAAGGGAAGAGATGATATCATTCTACAATAGATCGTAGAGCAAGGGAAGAGATGATATCATTCTACAATAGATCGTAGAGCAAGGGAAGAGATGATATCATTCTACAATAGATCGTAGAGCAAGGGAAGAGATGATATCATTCTACAATAGATCGTAGGGCAAGGGAAGAGATGATATCATTCTACAATAGATCGTAGAGCAAGGGAAGAGATGATATCATTCTACAATAGATCGTAGAGCAAGGGAAGAGATGATATCATTCTACAATAGATCGTAGAGCAAGGGAAGAGATGATATCATTCTACAATAGATCGTAGAGCAAGGGAAGAGATGATATTTAATCATTTATACGTAACTTGAACTCGGAGCCATCGTGTGGGCCCTGCAACCTTCCCCGCTGCAAGGGGTCTTGAATATTTTAGGGGCTTCAAGTTGGGATATTCACACTATTTTGAATGCAAGTTGGGGGAGAGAAAAAAAACAGACGAAAAATGAGGCGACGGCTCTGCTTGACCTGGTTGTGTTAAACAATTTTTATTTTATTTCACTAAATCGTAATGTGATTTTTAATTTTTATGAAACTATTTTTGAGGTTAAGTACTTAACAAATAAGTAAATTAAAAACACCTTCCAAGAAAAAAAATGTTTCCATCAAAAAAAAAAGACAGAAAGCTGCTAGCATTATTTCACACGTTGAACGCAAATAAATAAAAACACTTTACGTGAAATAATTACCTTTTCTGGGTATTTTGAAGTTTGACCAGAGTAAAAACGAAAAAAAAAAATTGTTTGTTTCGAAAGTGCTGTACGTTTGTATGAGTTTTTAAAACGGTTCATGATTATTATCCTATAACAACGGCATCATTATGTTAAGAAGACATGAGATGTTAACAAACAAAATCATATATTTAATAATGTGTGATTTATCTGAGAAAAAAAAATCGCATACAATTAAGGTATAATTTCCCATTATTCAGTTGATTGAAATTTTTCTTTGGAATTTCAAATTTTTATAATTTTCTTCTGATAAATTACAAATTGACTCCTCGATATACTTTAAGACATTTTTTAAAAACCAAATCCAAAGAGTTAATGTTTAAATTGACGATTTAGAAAGTATCTCGCTCCACCCCCCACCCCCCACCCCCAATCCTCTCCCCCCAATGGAATTGGTATGGTAATCGAAATGCAAGTTCACAATAAAAATTTCAATAAAAAAATTCTTTCTCCTGGATTCTTTATTTTAAAAAAATAAATGAATTAAATAGATGCGTGCAAAATAGGTGAGGCAGATTCTTTATTTGTCTGATAACAAAAAGAGATAAGCATTTGGGAGTTTCATAAATAGTAATCAATAAAGCGCTACGGTTATGGTGTAGCACTGTCTGTTGGCCTATTGTTTAAAGGCCGGCAGGTAGAGTGTAGGACTGTCGTTAGGACCAGAGGCGTAGGGAGGAGGGGCAGGGGGGACAGATGTCCCCGGGCGCAAGCTCGTTAGGGGAGCCAAAATGTGCTTTAATATTATATTATTGGTACAAATAATGGGTTTGAGAGTTGAAAAAAAGAAAAGGTGGCACTTTAAAATGGATCTTGTCCCCGGGCGCCAAACACCCTCGCTACGCCTCTGGGTAGGACTATTGTTTAAAGGCCGGCAGGTGGGGCGTCGGACCGTCTGTATGCCCATTGTTTATAGAAAAAGAGAAGTTAATTCATTTTTTTTTGGTTGTAATACTTGGACTCACATGGTATTTTTTCACTATACCTAGCTTGACCCGATATAAAAAACAAAACTAAAAAAAAAAAAAAACTGCACCTGGTTATGCCCGAGCTTATAATAATTCCCGAGTGGATGTTGTACGCCCCACTCTCATTACGCCCTAGGGTCATGTTGTCTTTGTCGACAGTTGGTATTTGTAGGTAACCATACATCATGGAAAACCAAAAATGTCACACTTCATATTTTTGTCCTGACACACCTAATGGTTGTTGTAAGAATTAGGAATGCACTATTCTACGTCATACATTGGCATTGACTCATTTATAAGGTGACTACTTGTTAAACACACACACACACCCACACACACACACACACAAAGATGTATAGAATTGGAAGTAGGGATGTCATTTCGAAAATAAATAAAATAAATTTAAAAATTCCCAATAGTGTTGTCAACCCCCCCCCCCCCAAACCACCCCACCCACACCCTAACGAAAACCGCATAAGTACCCGACACTACCCACTCTTCATAGAGTCGACATAACCCATCATTAGTAGATGTATGGAGTGCCCTCTGGATTTATTATTATAGCTTAATCACCTCTTCTCGTATTTTACAGGTACAGCGTGATTTCGTTGTCCCAGCTAGTACTAAATGTTGCTTTTGTTTAATGTGTACGAATTGACTATAGGAACCCGGGTCCCAGAAGTTAGTGGTTGGGATTTTTAAAAAAAAAATTAATAATATTATTGTTGGGTTGTAAGACAAAATTCGGAACCGAATAGCAGCGATCCCCTTACACTAAATGCTATTCGGATGTCATTTGTGGTCGTTTATTTTAGTTAAATTCAAGAAATAAATTAACATATAGTCCATTCAATTATATTTCATTTGATTCCTAGTTTTGTCTTAAAAACCCAACAATAATATTTTAAATATTTTTTTAATAAACCCAAACGCTCACTTCTGATACCCGGGTCCGAATAGCCACAGCCTAATGTGTATTCTTTACGTTGTGTGATTTCGCGAGTGACGGGGTGGCAAAATCAAGCGTGGCCCTGGGCGCCACAAGCTCTCGCTCGACCACTTGCCTCCTCAGTATTTTGTTTACGCGACCAAGAGTTGCCACCTGCTCGGCCAAACACGACCCTGAACTTAAAATGATCTTTTGTGACCTTCTAAAAAAAACATGCTTTGTACCAGCAGCACACCAAAGTACGCGCTCTCTCTTCGCGGGTGTGTGTAAGATTTGGCCGCCAGCGTTCAGGCTCCACGCACTTCAACCCAGTGACAGTTGGTGAGATGGACCGCCGAGAAACCTTTAGTTGGACTGGGGACGGAGGGTGGGTTGTATAAGTGCGAGCTTGTTAAGTCGTGACCTTGTCTTCATACTACTGCGACGGCAGCAGACATGACTTGGGCAAGGTTTGAGCCGCGGGGATATCAGAGCAGCCGTAGAGTGGACGTGGACGAAATGTTTCGTCCCCCAGTTCGGGAATAAGATTCCAATACATGACGTCACTTCCATCTATGTCTTCTATTTGAGCGTACACATACATAAGGCATGCAACTGAAATTTCGAAATCAAAACATTAAAAAGTATGTCTTATACTCCATAACTGGGATCAAATCATTAAACAGTATGACTTGTACTCCATAACTGGGATCAAATCATTAAACAGCGTGACTTGTTCTCCATCATTGTGATCAAATCGTGAAACAGTTTGACTTGTACTCCATCATGACGAAGGCTATTAAATATTTTATGTTAGTTATTCAGCTGTGGACACTTTTAGTCTCTGAGTCAACACCGCCCGGTGGAGGGGGGGGCACTGACCTCTAAAGGTGACCTCTAACCTCACCGAGACGACCTCTCACCTCATACAAGACGACCTGTCATCTCGCCAAGTCAACCTCTCCCCCTCACCAATGAGACCTCTCATCTCGCCAAGTCGACCTCTCCCCCTCACCAATGAGACCTCTCATCTCGCCAAGTCGACCTCTCCCCCTCACCAATGAGACCTCTCACCTCACCAAGGTGGCTTCTCACCTCACCAAGGGCACCCACATATTCCGTGGGCTAGGGGGCAGAGAGAACTTCTTGTAAGACCATTCAGAGAAAATCACACTGTCAAAATTAATCAGGCACACATAATAGTTTTTGTAATGTTAAGCCCAAAATTCCAAGGAGGAAGGATCAGATGAGCCAAATTTCGCCCCATTTAGTTCGTCCACCCCCACCCCCCCCCAACCCCATGATTTCACATCCTTCACTACCCCGTCTTGACATTTTCTTTCATAGTTCCCTCCTTGTAATGTTAAGCCCAAAATTCCAAGGAGGAAGGATCAGATGAGCCAAATTTCGCCCCATTTAGTTCGTCCACCCCCACCCCCCCCCCAACCCCATGATTTCACATCCTTCACTGCCCCGTCTTGACATTTTCTTTCATAGTTCCCTCCAGCGTCAGCAAACACGAAACATTTATTCTAAGATTTACCCGACCCATTCGATGCATTTCTGGCGCGCCTGTCCGGATCCTTAGCCGTGTGAACAAAATTATGTCCTTTGCATACTTACTAAGTTTTTCTTTCAACACGACCCGTGTGACGAGCTCCCTCCACCGGGACTTGATATTTAAGCGGCTTTTGGCACGGATACACTAATTGTCCGCCATGTTGTAAGGTCGCCTTGCGTTTACCCATTCCTAAGCCGTCGGTAGTGTTTGAACAGGAGATTCCAATATATAAGAAAGATCCGCAAGCACAAAATATCCTTCTTACCCTCCGCTGATAATGAAGAGTCCCAAATCGGCCGCAGTTCTGCCATGCAAGAAGAAAATTTAAATAAACAAATACGGAATTAAAGGGGGGGTCTAGGATGAGACCGAAGTTGATCAAATATCCTGGTGCACTGGAAACTTAGGTTTTGACGGGGATTTCTGTCAACATCTGCCATTCTTAGATCTCTGAATCAGACCTTTTGGAACACCAGTTGTATCCCTGTATGCTTAGGGCCCCGTGGGACGGTGTAACGCCCATTAGAACAAATCTCTGTCGTCTGTTACATCCCGGTGAGCTTTAACCCGCTGCCTCCTTGCATTCTCTTGGCTGGCATTTGGATTTGCAGAGCCAAACCTAGGAGCTGTCTCTAGAAGAAAAAAAATGCTTCGTACTGCTGCCGTCGTTGGACTTGCGGTCTTGATTTCCTTACTAGGAATTGGGATGTCTACAGGATCAAGTAAGTAGCGCAAATTTGGTTTGAAAATTTGAGAAACATTTGAATCTAGATTTAAAGTAAAAGAGGTTCGCGTTGTTTTTATTGGGTTTTTTTTGCTGTTGTCGGGGGGGGGGGGCGTCACAATTTATGTTGTTCCATAAACAGTTAAAAATTGTGAAAATGTGTTAAAACGGGAAATATAAGCAGATGTCGGTTCCACAAAACTGAAAATGTCAAATTAAATTAGATTTAAAGTAAAAGAGGTTCGCGTTGTTTTTATTGGGTTTTTTTTGCTGTTGTCGGGGGGGGGGCGTCACAATTTATGTTGTTCCATAAACAGTTAAAAATTGTGCAAATGTGTTAAAACGGTAAATATAAGCAGATGTCGGTTCCACAAAACTGAAAATGTCAAATTAAATTACTCCTGTTATGAAGCATGGCATGCGACTTCCGGGACGTTGATGAGGCTGTAAACCAAGAAGGACCACTCTGTTAGGCGAAATGCAGAATTAAAAAAACATTCACAAATCAGTCAAACATTTAAAATATGGAGTAGAATATAGACCAAACATTGACAATATAGAGTAGAGTATAGATCAAACATTCACAATATAGAGCAGAAAATAGATCAAACATTCACAGTATAGAATAGAATATAGATCCAACATTAACAATATACAATAGAATATAGATCAAACATTCATAATAGAGAGTAGAATATAGACCAAACATTCACAATATAGAGTAGAATATAGATCAAACCTTCACAAAATAGAGTAGAAAAGGTTGTTCAATTATTATCTAGCGCAGGGGTCCTCAAACTCTTTATGCACAGGGCCGGTTCACTGGAACTCAGACACCGTTGGGGCCGGACTATAGATGAAAAAAGCTATAAATGAATTCCTAGGCACACTGCACGTATGTAACTTGTGGTTGAAAAATAGGACCCCTCCTCCCCCCCCCCACACACACACACTACAAACGTAGAACAGTTTAACATTTACTTAATAGGGTGAGTATTGCGATGGAAATTGTGGGACTTTTTTGTTCCCCTAATGAAATGGTCAATGTACGATTCCATATCTATCGCCTCTGCCCGGGTTACAGTACGGCAGCCAAGCGGGCCGGGTTGAGGACCCCTGGTCTAGAGTGTATAATCTTATATATGTATTTTACATTTATATGTCTAGAGATAGGGATATATATTTCAGTGTAGAAAAATGGTTCATAAAAAAACCACTTAATAGATTTTACAATAAATCTGCTGTCACGTACATCAATTCGTCTAGCAATGTGTTACATCTCCTCTGTGTAATACCTCTTCCCTTGTTATACCTCTCCTCCATGTTATACATCTCCTCCATGTTATGCCTCTTCAATGTGTTATACCTCTTCCCTGTGTTATACATCTCCTCCGTATTATACCTCTTATTTGTGTTAAAGTCAAACACCAACTTAGGCCAGACACCACCTTAAGTCATTCACCAATTTAAGTCACATACCCACTTTAGTCACATAAAACATAAGTTTCGCACAAACTTTAGTCATACGCCATTTACAGCAGGCAGAAATATGAAGCAATCAAATATTTACAGCTTAAAATTTTAGTAGAATTGAATCTCTCGCCTCGAAAACACTTGCCTAGAAAACTCTTGCCTAGAAATCTCTTGCCTAGAAAACTCTTGCCTAGAAATCTCTTGCCTAGAAAACTCTTGCCTAGAAAACTAATGTTTAAACCAAACCAAAGGAAATGTTAAGAAATGGAAAGATTACGAAATGCTGGTGTTTAGTGTGGTAGGACCATTTCTTGTGTCGTAGACCTTTCATTGCGCACATGGGATACGGTAAACATAGACCCAACGAATGATTAAACATTGACACAAAACACACACACACACACACATACACACACACACACGAATTGAACGAATTGGACGTTTAGTCCACCATTGGCAGAAAATAGGGGCTGCAACTGGTGTTGACTTAATGACGTCTGCTGTTTTTTTTTTTATCCAACCTTATAACCCACGAACCGAAACTATGTCATAGCAAGTATTGTTGTATAGTATATTACAGTTTTAAAAAAATAAAATTTGCTCTACAATGGCGAGTAATCGAATCAATATTACAAATTATTTTAACTAAATTAAGTTTTCTTTTAAAAAGGGCAATAAAAATTAATATCGAAATACAAAACCCTGATGAATATGTCGGAACCAAGGAGCACGGTTGGAGATACATCGACACTTACCTTACCCTGTGGAGATGGAGATGGATGAAAGGATTTAATTAGATCATTACAGTTTGAGTGGATGAATGGACACATTGGATACACAAGTGGATAAACGTTTCGGGATGTGGGTTGGATGGTGGATGATTGAATGGATCGTGGGCGGGTGGATTGTGGTCGATTGGTGGATTGAACAAACTGATGGATTGTGGTCAATTGGTGGATTGAACAAACTGATGGATTGTGGTCAATTGGTGGATTGAACAAACTGATGGATTGTGGTCAATTGGTGGATTGAACAAACTGATGGATTGTGGTCAATTGGTGGATTGAACAAACTGATGGATTGTGGTCAATTGGTGGATTGAACAAACTGTTGGATTGTGGTCAATTGGTGGATTGAACAAACTGATGGATTGTGGTCAATTGGTGGATTGAACAAACTGATGGATTGTGGTCAATTGGTGGATTGAACAAACTGTTGGATTGGCTGGATGCAATGGAATATTCCCAAAAAATATAAGACACGAAATAGAGGGTCAGTGGCGTCACTGAGGTTGGTGTCGATCGATTCAGTCCGCCCCCCCCCACCCCTTTCCACAGTGACGGTACTGTGAGGGTTTCATCTTCTTGGTGGTGATCCACTCCATTCTAGCCTTTCAAAATTATAGCGGAAGTAACTTATCATTGAAGTGTTGTATCCGAGACTAAAACAAACGTCACAAATTATTTCTTTTCAAAATTATAAGCCGGAAGTATGATATGGCTAATTACATTGGTGGGTCAAGTGGTGGGTCAAGTGGTGGGTCAAGTGGTGGGTCAAATGGAAAATAAAAACTCAACAGATTTGGAAATGGGTGTTAAAACCGGCCAGTTTTCAATTTAGGAAATCGTAGAAAATTTTAGAGTGAGGGGAGGTTGGGGGGGGGAGGGGGGGGGGGTGGGGGGGAGGGAGGGGGGGGGGGAGTGGGGGGAATTAACAGAAGAATGGGGTAACAAAATGAGGAATAATTTTTCTTTATCATTAAAGTTGTAGTTGAAATGTTTGAGGAATCCTTCAAGTCATCAATGACCTAACCTCAAGTGTTCACAGCGCGCCATTGGCGCCATGTGCCAGATTTTTTTTGAAACGTGTGTATTTTTTTTTTTCAAATTTAAAAAGATTGTGTGATTTCATATTATTTAATTTGATTGACCTTTACCAAAAAAAAAACAAAAACAACAACAACAAAGCAAAACATTTCATCACTACCTAAAGCTGACAATGTGACAAAATTTCTAAGAAACCAGATTTTATCGGACGTGCAAACACGATCTGAGAAGAAAGGGGGAGGGGGGTGTCTTCTATTGGTTTAGTCGGCTGACGGTGGAGGAGGCTCCGTCCCCTTTATATCACGAGTCCAGGGTTGGTCGTGGTTTATGATTTCCTCGTGAACCGTCTTTTAAACCAGGAAGCGTTTATTTGATCAAGTACGGTAAGCCAAGGGACCGAATCTTTTTTTGTGTGTCATGGTGTTTCTTCAATGTAAGACGAAAGGGGCGTGTCTGCTTAGTTAAGAATAGAAAGGAAAGGGTTGCTCTTGAGGATGTAGAAGTACCGCACGCTGGTGAAATCTAGGATTTATCTTGGATGAGTTTGAAGGGCTATGACTAAATAAAAACAAAAACAAAGGTCTAATTTCAGCATGAGTAAGATTTTTTTGTGGGGGGGGGGAGGGCGTAATTCAAAATCAAAATAAAGGTCTAATATCAGCGTGGGAGATATTTTTTCTGGGGGGGGGTGGTTGGGGGTTCAGGGGGAGGCTAAATAAGAACAAAGAAACGAAGGTCAAGGTCTGATATTATGACAAGGAAGAAAAGAAGAATATATTGCTTTAGAGCAGCGGCACTCAACCTGTGGGTCGCGGCCCCTTTGAGGGTCGAACGACCCTTACACAGGGGTCGCCTTGGACCATCGGAAAACACATATTTATGAAATGGCAACGAAAATAATTTTATGGTTGGGGGGTGACCACAACATGAGGAACTGTCTTAAAGGGTCGCGGCATTAAGAAGGTTGAGAACCGCCGCCTTAGAGAAAAATTATTAAAAACAAAGTTATGGACCAAAATTTTCTTGCTGTTACGTAAGACGACTGTCAGAGATGGATTTGTTGTTTGTTTGTTGTTTTTTTTTAATTTAGGGGTGGGGCAGAGGGGGTGGACCAATGAAAATGTTGACCAGTGGTCAATGCAAATGTTTAGGGATGGTGGTTTGGTGTTGCAACATTTAGCGGGTTACAAACCCGTCAGTACTCTTTGTGATGGACAGTGTCTGAGGTTGATTTAGTTTTGTCTGGTCTAATGTACAGTGTCTGAGAATGATATAGTTTTGTCTGTTCTAATGTACAGTGTCTGAGGTTGATTTAGTTTTGTCTGTTCTAATGTACAGTGTCTGAGGTTGATTTAATTTTGTCTGGTCTAATGTGCAGTGTCTGAGATTGACACATTTTTGTCTGTTGTAATTTTATGCATAGTCTGAGATTTTTTTATTGTTTTGTCTGTTCTAATGCACACACAGCACGATGCACAACTATGTTGCAAAACAGGGGCGTGTGTGTACTCAAGAGTCAGATGTGTCCATCCGGGCTTGTGGAGTACGAGTACTTCAGTAACTACGTCGGCTGTTTCACGATGGATAAAAAATGCTGCTCACCCCCAGAGCGTAAGTTATCTTCATGAATTGGGTTAGGGTTACGGTTAGGGTTAGGGTTAGTGTTAGGTTTAGGGTTAGGGTTTTGTTTAGGGTTAGGGTTACGGTTAGGGTTAGAGTTAAGGCATTTTTTTTTATTGAGAAACTTGATATTTATACTTGAGTAACGTGATACTTTTGATTGCGAAACTCGATACGACAAATTTCTTGACATTTATTACGTATAATATTAAGTTTTGCTTTTAGGTCTGGGGCTGGGGGAGGAAGGGGTGATATATGGGCGTATCTACGATGGTGTAAAGGTGGTTAATGTTACAAATTATGAGTACACTGTTAGGTTGACATTATGTACGCTGAGATCTTCAATGTGATGCTATCAGATCTTTAATGCGAGGCTGTCAGATCTTAAAAATGATCTTAAATGTGTGGCCTTTAGGATCGTATCGTCTTCTCGAAGGCTGTGTGTCCTGGCTGCGCCACCAGATGGCAGTCCATAGGCCTTGGCTGCGCCACCAGATGGCATTCCATAGGCCTCGGTTGCGCCACAGGACGGTCTACCATTTGCCTCAGTTTCTCCACCGGAAGGCAGATATTCTGCCAGTTTCCCAATGGACTGACCACTTCAACCAAATTCCTAAAACATTTAGTAAAAAAAGGCGTTTGAACGTTTGCCAAATATGAGCTATAAATAAATTTTAAAAAAAATGAAAACGATTAAAAACCAAGAGAATTTGCCTATGGCATGGCTTCACTACTAGATGGGGGTTCTCCTTTTAAATTATGATTATTAATAATATTGTTGAGTTAGTTCCTTTTATTGATAACTTTAGAGAGTTTGTTTCCGTATGGATATTTAATATTGTGGAGTTAGTTCCCTTAACATCTTAATATTGGAGAGTTAGTTTCCCTAAACGTACACCAAACTATATTTTACACATTTGATATTTCATGTTTGACACTATTTTTCAGTTATACGAACAGAAAGCCCAACCGTAACCCCATCAACTTCTACATCAACATCTACATCAACATCAACAACATCCATAACAACGCCCTGGACCTCCTCGACAAAAGATAACAACGGTGCTCCGCCTACGGTCAGCCCCACACCAACATGTGGACTGGGCAGCCAAGAAAATTTTGATAAAATATTGGATGGTCTCCCTACTGGGGTCTGTGACTGGCCATTCGTGGTGTCCATTAGGTAAGAGAGCAGGAGAGGGGAGACATGTTGTTTCAAAGCTTTTAAGTTAGAGCACAAGAAAGTGGCTATTATCGATTATGCTAGATTCCACACAGGTTTGATCTCAACTGAAATATGAGTGGTTGGTTTGGGCTGGGCTGTGTATGGTTGTACAGGATCTGAAAGAGCTGCTGACGCCTTATGTACCCACTAGAGAGCTCCGCTCATCCGATAGTGGCAAACCCTTGACACCACGTGTTTGCCTTGAGACTTACGGAAAACACACTTTCGCATTTGCTGGTCCAACAATTTGGAACGCCCTTCCTGTCGATCTCAGAAACAACCAGACACTGGAGTCTTTTAAAACCGATCTAAAGACACATCTATTTCGCAAACACCTTCTGGGATGATTGTCTACCTTATTTTTCAGTTAATGCATAATGGCTGTGTTGCTTATGGTTGAAATGGCTAGAAAGACTTTGCAATTGTATGCTTGTAATTAGTTTTTGTAGTGTTGCGTTTGTTTTAAATGTGGTAAATTATAGATTTGTTTTTTGTTGACTTTGTACCGCACTTCGAGCCTTTGGGGATGAAGCGTGTTTTTGAAATGAACTTTATTATTATTATTATTATTGTGTGGGGTTGTCTATGATTATCAGTAAGTGTGTGTGGTTGTGCGAGGTTGTTCAGGGATTGGTGGTGGGGATTTTTCTGTCCATGGATATAAAAATATGGGATTTTAATTCTCATCTCTTGAAGTTTTTAGTGACAATCACGTCACTTCCCATTTGTGCATACTCTCGAACCAGTCCATTCCACCACCAGTCACGCGAGTATCTCGTTCAAGCAGTCGATGCCACCACCAGTCACTCACTAATCTCGTTCTAAATAGCTTAAATGATATTTCAAAATCTCATCTCTCCAGGGCCTTGCTACAAAACGCGCAGCAGTTGTCGTATGCCACCACGTCACACGCGTGCCAAGGGGTTCTCATTGGACGCCAATGGGTGCTGACCAGCGCCTTCTGTGTTTACGGGTAAGCTGAAGTGGGCTAATAACGAAGAAACACTATGTGCAAACGGTGGTCGTAACATTAGTTAAGGTAAAGAAAAAAAAGATATCACTATGCATGAAATAAGAAAATATCGAGGTACGTCGAATATGAACGAACGATATTCGATTACTCAACTATAACTGATTACATAGCTATAACTGATTTCATAACTATAACTGATGCATAACTATAGGTAATTACATAACTATAAAAAAATAACAGTATATTTATCTGCTGTATCATAGCCCTTTCTTGAAAATTTGCCTTTCTAAAATTAATCAAGTTAAATTCCTGCTCACGAAACGATGCTCTACCTTCCAAGGGGCTCAAAAGTGTTAGTGTTAGCTCTTTTCTACCTTTAAATGAGCTCAAATCTATTAGTGTCAGCTCTTTTCAACCTTCATGTCACCTCAAATCTATTAGTGTCAGCTCTTTTCAACCTTCATGTCACCTCAAATCTGTTAGTGTAGCTCTTTTCAACCTTCATGGGAGCTGAAAAGTGTTAGTGTTAGCTCTTTTCTACCTTCATGGGAGCTCAAATCTGTTAGTGTTAGCTCTTTTCAACCTTAATGGGAGCTCAAATCTGTTAGTGTTAGCTCTTTTCAACCTTCATATACTATTTTACTTGTCAGTGTATTACAAAGAGTGTAGCATTAAATTCACACCGTATTCTCAACATATTGTCAACATTTGCGAGTCTCATTCCCTGAACCCCTGGTCCTGACATGGCCCCATTCTTGGGTTACATTCTTCCAAACGCTACAGTGGGATGCTTTCATTTCTGTCCCAAACTCCTCAGAGCTGGCAGCACTTTGCAGGAAGCCCCCAGTCGTATGCTCGTGGTGGCGGGCGAGTACGATGTCTCTGCCATTGACATTGACCCACTTACTAGACAGCAGCAGGAACAGCTCATTAGAGTAACCAACGCTTACATCTACCCCACGTACGCCTACAAGTCGCAGCTGGAGGCCATCCCATTTGACGACCTTGTCAAATTAAATAGTAAGTCCCCCCCTCCCCCCTCCCCCCCCAACCCGTCTTTTTATTATGGGGCTTTCCGCTTTTTTTTTTTAAAACCCAAAACATTTTTTTTATAAATTAAATACTAAGTCCCCCCCCCCCCCCTCCCCCCCCACCCCGCCTTTTTATTATGGGGCTTTCCGCTTTTTTTTTTTAAAACCCAAAACATTTTTTTTAAAAAATATTCTGGCATCTGAATTTTAGCACCAAAACAACAACAACACCACCAAATGAGTGGTCTAAAGTTTCAATGCACCATTGAACAAAGAGTTATGCTCTTTTAAATATGTGATAGTTTTGCTTATCCTAAGTACGGTTTTTGTATGTTTTCGTACAGTTTTTGTTCTGGTATCGTTTTTTATGTTCTGGTACAGCTTTTGGTGTTCTGGAACAGCTTTGGGTTTTATTGTACAGTTTTTGGTGTTCTGGTACAATTTTTGTTGTTCTGATACAGTTTTTGGTTTTCTGGTACAGTTTTTGGTTTTCTGATACAGTCTGTGTTGTTCTGGTACAGTTTTTGATGTTCTGGTACAGTTTTTGTATGCTCTAGTACAGTTTTTGATGTTCTGATACAGTTTTTGTTGTTCTGATATATTTTTTGTTGTTCTGATACATTATTTGTTGTTCTGGTACAGTATTTGTTGTTCTGGTACAGTTTTTGGTGTTCTGATACAGTTTTTGTTGTTCTGGTACAGTTTTTGTTGTTCTGATACAGTTTTTGTATGCTCTAGTACAGTTTTTGGTGTTCTGATACATTTTTTTGGTTCTGATACAGTTAATGGTGTTCTGATACAGTTTTTGATGTTCTGATACAGTTTTTGTTGTTCTGGTACAGTTTTTGTTGTTCTGATACAGTTTTTGATGTTCTGATACAGTTTTTGTTGTTCTGGTACAGTTTTTGGTGTTCTGATACAGTTTTTGGTGTTCTGATACAGTTTTTGTTGTTCTGGTACAGTTTTTGGTGTTCTGATACAGTTTGTGTTTTTCTGGTACAGTTTTTGATGTTCTGGTACAGCACTGGTTGCTTAAATACACATCATTTTATGCCCATCGAAAATAATAATAATAATAAAAAAATCATTTGATCTTAAGACTCGCACCACTTACTAATTATTTAGATTAAAAATGATTTTACAAGATAAGGATAAAATATCTTCCGCCATTAAAAATCCCTCTTCTAAAAGGGAAACCGCTATAATTTGAAAGTGCATGGACACTTTCGCATAGGCAAATGCACATTGACGAATATCAGACTAACTCCTCCCCCACCCCCCACACCTACATACTCCTCGGGTTACTTCAACCTTTATTGTTGTGGTTTGTAAAGTGGTATTTTGTCATTAAATCTGTCCAATAGGCGATGGCGTTGCTCTCATTAAACTAGCTGAACCAATCAACGGCCGTTGCTCTGGTACCATTTGTCTGCCCTCTCAAAACGAGGCAGCCAATGTCTGTGCAGGATATGAGGAGTGCTTTATCACAGGATGGGGATTCTCCACGGAGACATTTGATGACAGTAAGTAGAGTTTGGTGTCATCTAATGACATCAAGTAGAGTTTGATGTCATTAGATGAAAGTAAGTAGAGTTTGATGTTATTTGGTGACAGTAATTAGAGTGTGATGTCATTTGACGGCGGTAAGTGGAGTTTGATGTCATTTGATGACAGCAAGTAGAGTTTGAAGTCTACCTTAAGTAGCATTTAATGTCATTATCATATAGTCATTTTATGAAAGTGTAAATATTTGAATCCATTTGCCTTCATGTTTAAAATGTTTTTATTCTTAATTTTCAAACATCCATTCCATGGAATTATACTCAACACCGAGGGAAAAAATGTTTATATTATGTCCCCACAATGGTGACATGAATCTGGGGACGATACTCGAAACAACTCTCCCCGTTTTCCCACAGTGTTGACAATGAATGAAGTGAACATTCAAACGTTAATGCGGATCACGAAAAAACCTCTGTAATACTTCTGAAAAGATCTGTGATACTTCTGAAAAGATCTGTGATACTTCTGAAAAGATCTGTGATACTTCTGAAAAGATCTGTGATACTTCTGAAAAGATCTGTGATACTTCTGAAAAGATCTGTGATACTTCTGAAAAGATCTGTGATACTTCTGAAAAGATCTGTGATACTTCTGAAAAGATCTGTAATACCTCTGAAAAGACATGTAAGGCTGTCGAAAAGATTTGTAATACTTCTGAAAAGATGTGTAATACTTTTGAAAAGATCCGTCGTACTTATGAAAAGATCCGTCGTACTTCTGAAAAGATCTGTCATACTTCTGAAAAGATCCGTAATAGTTCCGAAGTCATCTGTGATTTCCCCTCTTGTTTTAATCCAACAATCTTATGTCAGTGACTTTTAAAAAGTCTTGAATGAGTTTATTATGAGTTTAGGGAAATAAATGAGATGAAGAAGTTATTGCGTTGAAGTTATTATCATCTCCTAAGACCGATTTATGAGAGTAGACAGATAATCGCCGTAAGATGCAGTTGGCTTACGATTTGTTGGCACTTCTTACTCACAAACGATGCATCACGACGTCAGCAGCGAGAGATTTCCGCCTTGGAGAATGCAGTGCCACCACCCGACCTTACACTCATCATTTGGCCTGATTTATATTTTTCATTTCTTTAATATGTCTGCACATCAGTACATGCTTCTCTTGTTGTTCACAGACATATCACCTCAGCTAGTACATGCTTATCTTGTTGTTCACAGATATATCACCTCAGCTAGTACATGCTTATCTTGTTGTTCACAGACCTGTCACCCCAGCTAGTACATGCTTATCTTCTTGTCCACAGACCTATCACCCCACCTAGTACATGCTTATCTTCTTGTCCTCAGACCTATCACCCCAGCTACTCAGTGGTCGAGTCAAACTTTCGTCCCGCGAGGCCTGTAACTTCCTGACCGAGCGACTTGGTCTCCAGTCTAGCAGACCCAATGGGACCATCTGCCAGAGTCCCACCCATTCAAACACGGACAGTTGTCTGGTATGCTGTATCTTATTAACTTGATATCTTAGATCAGCGGTGATCAACGTGGAACAATTCGCCCCCCCCCCTGATGGCCACAGCATACTTGTTGGGACCATTAATAAAACAGAACGTCTGGGGAGAGGCTATAATAATTCTCAGTTGGAAAAAAGAAGGGGGGGGGGGGGGGGGCCACCAAAATTCTTTAAAAAAAAAATTATAATTGCAATTAAACTTGCTTAGCGACTTACATTGAAATAATTTATAATCTACGATTGTGACTTTAAACAATTCATATTCATCACCATTATTGTTCGTCCTTCGCATGCCAAGAGGAGGAGTAGCCTTGAGGTGAGCTGTTGAGGGAGAGCTGCTCAAACGTCCTTGCCTATTTGTTCCAATGTCAAGGCTTTGCTTGGATGAGTTGCCATCCGAGTTTAACGGGGGGGGGGGCCCATCTACCCACGAGGGGCTGCTGGGGTGGATTTTTGGCTTCTGCTGAGGATTGAACCAGAGACCACTGTTGGCTCAGTTTAGGCCACTCGGCCACTCAGCATCCTCTTCACTATTCATCGCTAACACTACGCTTTACACATCATTATGTTGTACATTTTAACACTATTTTAAAAAAAAAAGAAAATAATCCCAAGAAGCAAGTTGTAATTAGTTGATTATTTTATTAAAATACATTAAGATGATCCATTCACAAATTTTGTAAATTCGTGAATTTGAATTTCGAACCGGAAGCAAAATAATAATAATAATTGTGGCGAAATAACTTCTGCCTAAACAGAAGACAACGCCCGCTTTAGGGTAAATTTTCGCCCCTGTGCGAAGCACCCGTTCGGCGCCCCCTTCCCTGTTCCTGTATGGCTCCGCTCTTTTTCCGATTACGACGTAGGCGATGGAGCACGTGTTATGATGCTATACATGATAAGATCTGTGATACTTCTGTGATACGATGGAGCACGTGTTATGAAGCTATACATGTAGCTAATCATAGCATTTCAACATGCACATTTAATTTAGACTGTTTAGTTTTTCTGCGGTACTTCACACTTCATTATAATAATCTAAGGGGATTTAAATATTTACTGGGCGCCCCACGTGCCCCTATGGCCACGGCGCCCTGTGCGAGGGCACAAGTCGCGCACACCCTAAAGGCCGGCGTTATATTCAGTCCCAGAAAGTTGCGTCATCAGATCTCGTCTGCTAAATGACGTCATCAGTGGCATGTGTACAAAAAAAAATGCTTCCCGTTTGTTACAGGGCGATGAAGGTGGTGCTGTGATGTGCTACAACGGTTACAACTGGGTCGTCCGCGGCATCCTGCCGTTCAACATGTGCGCCAACGGACGTTACAACCTCTTCGTCACAGACGTGGCGCCGTACCTCAGCTGGATCAAAGACACGATCAACGCCAATGGCGGTGGGCTGTGAGTCCCACCACCAGGAATGTCAACGACATCTCCTGACGACAGCTGTGGCGCGAATCAAAGTATGTTAGTTTTAGGATTGGATGCCATTTGTCTTCTTTTTTTTTTTGGGTTGCAGTATGATCAAGACAAAATTCACTGATCTATGACAGGGAACCAAGGAACTTGGATCTGATTTTTGCATTGTAAATATATTTTTATTTTATTTGAGGAATAGTATCTGAAAGTAATTTTGTTTTTAAAATTTACATTTATTGGTATTTAATGTGTGTTCAAACGAATTCAATCCTATTTTTTATATTTACTTTTAAGCGAAATAAGATTAAGACGAAATAGTTATTACGAGTTGAAAATAAAAAGATTTTTTAAAAAATCAAAACATTAATATGTTCTTTGGGTTGTCATTTTCTTGTCCCCCCCCCCTTTCCAAACCTCCTCACCACAAACAATCTAATTTGTGTATGTGTATGTAGAATGTGTTCGTTACAAATGGTACTGCTTCTGATCGTGTATCTGGAAAAGATAAGAAAGATGTCACACGTGGACGAAATCTGTCCTTCATACACAAACGAGGTCACAATCAGTGGAGCACCGACCTCGATTCCCAAATCAACCGTGTATCAACTGTTTGCCATCAGTCTAACAACTGACAATCAACGGACTATTAACTGAAGCTTGACCTATAATTGGGACATAAACAGGTTCAAGGTCAGATGCAAATGAGCTCCCTACAAGTATCTTACTAGTAACTTACAACTAAAGATAAACTGGATTTAGATGGTCCCAAAACATCACAGATATCTTACAAGTAACTTACAACTAAAGAAAAGCTGGATCTAGATGGCCCCAAAACATCACAGATATCTTACAAGTAACTTACAACTAAAGAAAAACTGGATCTAGATGGCCCCAAAACATCACAGATATCTTACAAGTAACTTACAACTAAAGAAAAACTGGATCTAGATGGTCCCAAAACATCACAGATATCTTACTAGTAACTTACAACTAAAGATAAACTGGATCTAGATGGCCCCAAAACATCACAGATATCTTACAAGTAACTTACAACTAAAGAAAAACTGGATCTAGATGGTCCCAAAACATCACAGATATCTTACTAGTAACTTACAACTAAAGATAAACTGGATCTAGATGGCCCCAAAACATCACAGATATCTTACAAGTAACTTACAACTAAAGATAAACTGGATCTAGATGGTCCCAAAACATCACAGATATCTTACTAGTAACTTACAACTAAAGAAAAACTGGATCTAGATGGTCCCAAAACATCACAGATATCTTACTAGTAACTTACAACTAAAGAAAAATTGGATCTAGATGGTCCCAAAACATCACAGATATCTTACTAGTAACTTTCAAATAAAGATAACAGGATCTAGATGGCCCCACAACATCGGCTAGGTGCTGATGTCCTCCGTGTAAGGTGTTTATTCTGTGTGTAAATATTTGCCTAGATTTATATCAACTCTCTGTTGGGATCAGATTGTTATTCCCATAAATCTACGGAGGGAAGTCAACCATATTCACTTGTTTACATACATTTAGTTTATTTAAAAATGGCTTGTTAACACAACAGTACGATGGTATGACTTATGGGGCACAACACAAATATGAAAGTATAACTTAAGAGCATAACACAAATATGATAGTATAACTTAAGAGCACAACACAAATATGATAGTATTACTTAAGAGCACAACACAAATATGATAGTATAACTTAAGAGCACAACACAAATATAAAAGTATAACTTAAGGGCACAATACAAATGTAATAGTATAACTTAAGAGCACAACACAAATATGAAAGTATAACTTAAGAGCACAACATAAATATGAAAGTATAACTTAAGAGCACAACACAAATATGAAAGTATAACTTAAGAGCACAACACAAATATGAAAGTATAACTTAAGAGCACAACACAAATATGAAAATATAACTTAAGAGCACAACACAAATATGAAAGTATAACTTAAGAGCACAACATAAATATGAAAGTATAACTTAAGAGCACAACACAAATATGAAAATATAACTTAAGAGCACAACACAAATATGAAAGTATAACTTAAGAGCACAACACAAATATGAAAGTATAACTTAAGAGCACAACACAAATATGAAAGTATAACTTAAGAGCACAACACAAATATGATAGTATAACTTAAGAGCACAACACAAATATGAAAGCATAACTTAAGGGCACAACACAAATATGAAAGTATAACTTAAGAGCACAACACAAATATGATAGTATAACTTAAGAGCACAACACAAATATGAAAGTATAACTTAAGAGCACAACACAAATATGAAAGTATAACTTAAGAGCACAACACAAATATGAAAGTATAACTTAAGAGCACAACACAAATATGAAAGTATAACTTAAGAACACAACACAAATATGAAAGTATAACTTAAGGGCAAAGCAAAAGTGCAATAGAGTAACGTATGGGGCACAAATACGATATTTAACGTCATAAACATTAGCTCAATCTTCAACTCTGTCCATATTTTTTACTGTTTCACTGTGGCTTAGGAAAGGGGAAAAAAGGGGAAGGGGGTCATTTCATGCTGTCCTCCCCGGGTGTCTTTTTGGTGCAAATTTTGAGTAGTGCTAATTTTTGCCAACTGCAGAGCTTTTTTCGTTGAGGGGTGAGGGGGGGCGGTAATAATCCTTGGCCCCGCCCCGGGCGGCAACAATCCTGGCTACGTCACGACAGCTCAGTCCCTGATTTCACAAATAGTACTGCTCCAATCTTTACTTTCTGGGTAAGTCGCTAAAGACGCTACACTTTTCATTCATATAGTCAGTGCCCCTAGTCGATAGATGTCCATGAGGATACTCTTACCTATACCATGACCCTCGTTTCGAAGACTTGTTATTTCAGCTAGTGTTTAAATTGTGGGTATTTCTGCCAGCAAATGTATACACAATTTCAAATTTTAAACGTGTAAAATTATGTTTTTAGGCCATTAAATTGAAAGGGGAAATCTTGGAAACGTGATTTCTGTGTAGTTGTTTTTTTGTTTTTTTTAAATCCTTTACATAACCTTCACGTTGTTCATCTGTTTCTGTGTTTCAACTCAAAATCTTGGGATGGCTAATTGACCCACTTCACGTCAGCATATCGAACTGAAACTTGGCACGTCGACTCGTTGCCGATGACCACACATTCCATCAAATTTTCAGCCCCAACCCTACCCACAAAATCATCTTCCCCTGTTTGTCAAAGGGAAGAAGAATGAAATATGTTTTTTTTTTTAATGATTGCGTGTGGAGATGTATTGTGTAGCTGTTGCTATATGCTTTGTATTTGGGACGTATTGTGTAGCTGTTGCTATGTGCTTTGTATTTGGGACGTATTGTGTAGCTGTTGCTATGTGCTTTGTATTTGGGACGTATTGTTTAGCTGTTGCTATGTGCTTTGTATTTGGGAGTATTGTGTAGCTGTTGCTATGTGCTTTGTATTTGGGACGTATTGTGTAGCTGTTGCTATGTTCTTTGTATTTGGGACGTACTGTGTAGCTGTTGCCATGTGCTTTGCATTTGGGACGTATTGTGTAGCTGTTGCTATGTGCTTTGTATTTGGGACGTATTGTGTAGCTGTTGCTATGTGCTTTGTATTTGGGACTGCATTTGGGTAGGCAGTAAACATAAAATGTATTTTTGAAGGGGAAAATGAAGGAAATATGAATTATGTTTTCGCCAGAAGTTGACCCATTGACATAACCGCTTCTTAACAAATGATAAATCACGTTACAGTTACGTAAATACAACAAAAAAAAAAAGCATGGTATAAAGGATTTATACGAAAAACGTTGTTTTTTATGGGTTGCTAAATTTAATGTATAAATAATACACACAAATACGCCCAGTGAATGACAGCTTTAGAGAAAGGTCGTGGTCATGTGTTACAATCCCGTTCACTTAGTCAACAAACATTCATGTCATGACCGTGCGATTGATTCCTGATGACGACCTGCAAAGTTCACACCGAACCGCATTGATGTCAATGGCGTGACATCCAGGGGGTGGGGTGGGTTGGGGTGGGGTATGGGGGGTTGGGGGGCTATGACATAAAATCCATACATCAGTTGGTTTCGGACATCTGTCCGGTGAAACTCTGGGAAAGGTGGCAAAAGTCGGTCAATAAAAATATTTGTTTCAGCCCGAGTTGTTTGCCCAAGATCATTTCCGCCGTTACCAAGGCCCGCTGTTCCTCCTGTTGGTTGTTTTACGTAATGGGATTAATCCGATACGTGTGGGTAAGTATTTAAGCGACCACATGCGGTGGAGTATCAGAGTTGAACCCCCAAGGGACGTAACCTGTCCGGCCGCAAGTGTGGAGTGTACCGATAGCCAGATATTTCCCCAAGAGGTTCTCGCAAGATCCTCAAAACATGTCTCAGATCGCAGCGCTCCTCCTCGTGACCTTGGGGATTGGCCTGTGTCATGGTCAGCAAGGTTAGTGTTACTGATATTTTATAGGAAACTCTGCCGTTGTCAACAAGGAGCTGACAGAGGAGCTTAAACAGACACCAGAGCTTAAACAGCTTATCGCGTCTACTTCTAAGATCCCATTTCTCTACTGCGACCCGGATGTGCAGCATATAAAAAGCCATTGGTTGATCACTCGGCTGTCCACTGGACACTTCAATTGAAACAAAAAAAAAACTATCATCATTTCAGGCTGTCATTTTTTTTTTCTTTTTGGAGAGATCTCAAAGTTTGTTTTTGCAATAGATGGGCGTGGTTTCAATAGCACTTCATTACCATGTTTTATAGGTCTTCGGGGCAATGCCAAACTCCAAACTATTTGTCATATGTGATTTTAGACACGAGAAGGTAGAGACATTAGTCAGTAAGGCGTAGTCATTGTATGGGCTGAGCGTCATTTCAAGGGATTTAATCATGTGTTGAAACATTTACCTCAAAGTAATGGACCTTATTTTATGGACACAACAAACACATAATTATATCTGGAGGAAGCAATTATTTCAATAACGTAGGTCAATAATGATCTCGAAAGGTTATTTCAAGCAATTTTTATAGGCTCACCTACCTGACATGTTGTATGACAGTACTCACCTACCTGACATGTTGTATGACAATACTCACCTACCTGACATGTTGTATGATGATACTCACCTACATGACATGTTGTATGAAGATACTCACCTACCTAACATGGTGTATGACAGTACTCACCTACCTGACATGTTGTATGACAATACTCACCTACCTGACATGTTGTATGATGATACTCACCTACCTGACATGTTGTATGACAATACTCACCTACCTGACATGTT